ATTAATAAAATGTTTGATTAATAATTTTTGACTGAATTTAAATATTAATTAATGAATAACATATATATTTATATATAATATAACCATCCGTGCAACCTCAAATTTTATATTTACATATGAAAAATAATTAAAAAATTTTAACTTCATTCTTCAATAAAGAATGCAGTTAATTGTAATTTAATAAAATTTCGTACGTATTTCAGTTGTGAATGAATTAATTAAAATTTTAAAAATTTCCATATTCACGAAACATATAAATATATAAACAAATAGCAATAATATTGTCATTATCTTGCATTAAATATTACTGCAGTGAGAAGATAATTAAGCTTTTTGCAACTTATCGCACTTATGGAATAATAAACTTAACCCTTTGCCAAACGCCATTGGTGTTAATAAAATTTCATATGAATATTTTTAATTTTATTTACTCACAATGAAATTGCTTTGGGGCGATAACCAGCATTAATAATACTATTATCCTGTATATTTATCGGTGGGTAAATATTCATTGCCAAAATGAATATTTTTATTCTTTATTTTAAACTTTAAAATTCCAAGTAATATAATTTAAAACGGTTGTGAGATTTTTAGGTATATTTTGCAATCTCATTCTCTGTCCTACAAAATCCTCCAAGTTTCATGACATCAAATTCAGAGTTCCAGCTACAGTGCATAAAAACAAAGTACTTTCTGTCAACGAAGAAATCTTCTGAGCATCTTGGAACTCAAGTCAGTGTTGACAGCTATAAGTTTAAGCTTTCAAAAGATTTTTTATATTGAAAATCTTGCGTAAATGATGTCAGCCTAGAGATCAAACGAAGTATCTCTCTTGCTAATGGATTTTATTCCAGGGTAAGTAAGAAATTGAAAAATAAATGAAAATGAAAATCATGTTCTTTAGGACTCTTATTATGCTTGACATGCTATGTAATGCAGAAATTCAACAACAACAAACAGTTTTAAGAAGGAATTAGAATCAACCGTGAGAACAACTCCTTGAAGATCTACATATAGTTGCGTAAGAGTTGATAACGACTATCAAATAAGATGAAAGTATAAGCTGTACATGTTATACCGTTAAAAAGTTAAAATAAATAGTTAAGTGAATGAAAGGAAATGTTCTGAGTAAAAAAGTATTTGATTTAGTACCCGCTGGAGAAAAACGTGGTATAGAACGTCTCCATATTTGTTGGAAGGACAAAGTGAGCAACGATTTGAGGACACTCGGTACTACCAATTGGAGATAGTAAA